GGGCGGCGCGGTGCTGACGCCAAGGGGCCTGCGCCTGCCGGGGGTCCAGAGCAGCTCCCACCACCCCAGTGGCATCACTGGGACTGCCCTGAGGAAGGGGCTTATCCCCCCCGACCCCCAGCGCTGGGGATTGCCCCGACAGGGGCCTCACCCTGCACCTTCTGCAAGCCAGACCGGAGAGGTGAGGCCGCTTCCCGAAGGCGCCGTTGGCTGCATTGGCCCCAGGTTGTGGAGCTCGGATGGGAAATGGGCAATAAAGAGCGATGAAGTTTCCAGGCACTTTCTGGCCGGTGCAGTGATTTTTTTTTTTTTATTATTATTTTTCCCTTCCTGGTCTTGCAGCTGCCCAAGGTGCAGCCAGACAAGGGGAGGAGGGTCCCTGCCCGGCCTGCAGCTCCCTCCCTCGCCGTTCTTGGGGTGACTTGGGGTTGTTTTGCTGCGGCAGTGAGGCCAAGCCGGGCTCTGGAGCTGAGCCCGGAGGGACCCGAGGAAGGGCGTGATTGTCTTGAGGCTTCGAAGGGCTTTGCACCGAGCCCTGTCCCCGCTGGAGGGGACGCTGGTCGTGTTCATGGCAAAGGCCTTGCAGGCTCTGTTGTCGTGTGTGTCTGTCCCCTTCCCACCCCCTGAGGTCTGTCCTTGTCCCAGGGACTGTGTGCTGCTTTCTGTGTGGGGCCGTGTCCGTGAGTCCTGCAGGGACCCGTCTGTCCTGGCTCCCCCGCCAAAGGGGAAGGGGACAGGGGAATCCCCCCGCCACTGCCTGCCCCGCTGGTGGTGGCTTGGTGCCCCTCGGGGCTCGCTGGCTCTGATCTGGGGCTCAGTGGGGCTTCTGCACCTCTTGCGTGCTGTTTCCCAGTGGCCCCTGGGCTCCCTCCCAGGCAGGCACAGAGCCGTTCTGCAGAAACAGCTTTTAATGGAGGGAGAAAAAAGAAGAAGAATGTCCCATCAAAGCTGCTCTAACCCCCCACCCCCCAAATACACCACCCCTCATCTGGGGGGCTTTGGCAGGGTGCTCTTCCCCCGCTGCTTCCCCTGCTTCTCTGACGCGGCAGGTGGGGACGGTGGCGGGTCCCTGTCCACCTCTTCCTGCAGGTCCTGGGGCTCCATCCCGATGGCGAGGAGTTCTTCAAGGCTCAGGATGGCATCGGCCGTCTCGGGGATGCTGTAGTCGGGGCTGAGCAGCTCCTCGGGCAGCAAGAGCGAGGCGAAGTCGCAGTGGGGAATGGCTGCGCCGGTGTCACCAGGGTCCTCGGGCATGGGGCTGCTGCCGGGACCATCCTGGCTGACTCCCACCGCGTTCAGGGAGCAGCCAAAGAGCCTTAGGGCCTCCTCGAGCAGCACCTCCTCGGACACCGCAAGGTCGCCGGCCGGGTCCCCAAGGGCTTGGCTGTGGGGCGCAGCAGAGGGGCTGGTGGGGACGCTGCTGCCCGGGGATGTCCCTGCGGGGGTGGCTGTGCTGGAGATGTTGATGAGCTGGCAGCTGGGGATGCATGGCAGCACCTGGGGGGGTGTGGCCACCGCTGTCCCCTGATGGTTGTAGGGTGCAAGGTGTTGCAGTTGGCCCTGGAGGGTCCCGGGGTCCCACAGGGCAGCACCCGGCAGAGACGCAGCACCGTGGCCGAGCGTGGCGGTGGCCGGTGGGGGCAGGTTGGTGGTTGTCCACTGGATGTGGAAGATGCGGGGGTCGAAGAAGCAGCCGCATGGAGCCCTCTGCAGACCTGCGTGGGTGAGTAGGAGCCGTGCTGGGCCATGGGGACCCCCCACGGGCACCCACCGAGCCGGCCCCCATCGCCAACAGCTCTGAGCCAGGCACATGGGGAGCTTGTGGCCGGGACGCTGCCCGCGGGGCGAGCTGCTGTGCTGGCAGGGCAGGGTTGCAAATCAGGGAGGAGAGTCGCTTCTAGGAGGTGAAAAGGGAGAGATGGCCCCAAATATTTGGGAAATTCTCTGGAAATTGGGTTTACTGGATGCGGATCAGCCAGCCGAGGGCACGGCCGCTTGCCCGGGCTTGCTGAACCCCTGTGCCGCATCTGCCAGGGGTGGTGGGGATGCCGGGAGTGCGCGGGGGTCGGGGATGCTGCACGTGCCGTACCTGGTGGTGGGACCTGGGGTGCTCCCTGCGCTGGGGGTGCCCAGGCTGCGGGGACGGGCTGCTCCTGCCCGGGCAGTTGGCACAGGTTGGCTGAGCCTGAAAGCGAGACAGGAGCGATGGCCGGCGGTCACCTCCGCTCTCGCCCCTGGGAGCGTCCCCGGGCTGCAGGGCTCGGGTCGGTCCCTACCTTGGGGGTAGAAGGTTTCAGGGAGCACAAAAGGCTGAAGCAGCCGGGGCGCTGGCGGGGCCCGGGGGCTGCGTGGTGTGAGCCGCAGCGGTGGCAGCGCCATGGTCTGTTGTGCCTGCTGGCTGCTAAGGACTCGCTGGGGTCTCCCCGGAGGGAATGTGGGGGCTCCCCGTGTTCCATCCTGCCCCAGCAGCCTCCCCGGCCCCTCCTGGGCAGGGGAAGGGGTGAGGGGGGCTGGGGTGCCCCGGCCCCTACAGGTGGCTCTCAGGGGCTGTGGGAACAAGTGCTTTCCGCTTTAAATAGTATTTTTCAGGGGGGGAAAAAAAGAGTAAGTTGATCCAGCCGAGCTGCGCGGGGACCAAACTGCATCTGCAGCCTCCTTGTGCCACGCAGCAAATGCATTTGTGACTATTGCCTGTGCTTCTGCGTGCTGCATCGACTGGAGCGACGCAGAGATAGGAAAAAGGACCTCGAGGGCGCGAGGGAAGGTCACACGGCGTCACTCGGTGGCACGCTCCCCCCCAGCCCTCGCTCAAGTAGCACCATCAGGTCTTTTTAGTCTCCTGCTCGGGAAACCAGCAGCTCTGGATCCCCCTCGGAGGGGGCCACGCTTTCCCCGGGTGCATGACACTGAGGAGGAGACGGCAGCCACCGCTGTGTGCTCCCAAAAAAGGACTGGATTCTGCACAAGATCTGACGATGAGATGGTGGGGCTGTTTGTGCTCTACAGGGCTCCAGGGACTGGGTTAGTACATCCCCTCCTCGCATGTGCAGGATTTGGCACTACCAAGGACATCCTGGTAGGAACAGAGGCCTCTCGCTCCTGCTATGTGAACAGTGCGTGGCCCAGGGGAGCCAGGACAACTCCTGCTGTGAACTGGAGGCCGAAGCTCTCTCCTGGCCTGTATCCTGTTAATGAAACAGATTGCTCTCTGTTAGCAAGGCACCTCTGGCTGCAAGATTGTGCAAGGCCATCTGCTGCCTAACTCGTGTCAGGAACTGATGCCGGGGGCGTGAAGGCAACCGTGCTTCTAAAAACATAAAACTTTATTTCGGAGCGCAGCTGAGCAACCCCGCTCCTCGACACACGCCATCCCAACGCCGCCTCTTGACTCGATGCCATGGGAAGGGGCCTCGTCAGCCCTATCTGTAGGAATTTGCCTTGTGTTTAGGCAGGAAGGTGAAGCTGGTAGGTACGGGTCCCAGAAGCAGCTCACTGGAAGAAAGAAAAGAACAAAAAAAATGAAAACAAAACAAAAAACAAGGAGAGGTCTGTGTTCAGTACAACAAAACCACCGGTACTCAGCTGCTCGTGGCTCTACAGCGAGGGTGACTGCAGTCAGACGTGTCAAACCAAGCCTTTACCCTCCCGAAAACTTAGGGCTGCTGCACAAAACCGCCTCTGGTGCTGAGCTTTAACCCTGAACCATGGGAGTGGCGGGACGCAGCCTCCAGATAAGGGCAATGCCCTTCTTGCTGGGGAATCACCGAGACTCAATGCCAAAACGGGTTCCGAAGTTTGGTGACCTGAATACCAGCATCACCGCTGGCGAGGACGTGCCTAAAATCAACACGAGCCTCTGAAAAGCTCCTCCCCACCTCTTGCTGTGCTTGTGCGGAGCCGAAACCCTGGTAGTGCCAAAAAGTATTACGGTCAGATCCTAAAATGATGTAAGCCAGTTCTATTGCGATCAGATTTATCCTAGCTTAAGACTTCAACTATTTCACGCTTTGGAATACACGTTGTATTTTCAGCGCAGAGTCATTTTCGTTATAGTCAAGGAGGCGTAGCTTATTTCCTGGATGCTGGTTCAATGCGGCATCACTAAAACTTTCCGTAAGACACGGCACACAGCAGCCCAGCAGCGCACAAAATTGCATGGCAAGAGCCTGAATCTACAGCACAAAAGCAGAAATCGTGTGCTCAGAGAACCCTGCTTCTGGTTAGTGTCTCCTTAAAATGAGCTTTAACGAATAAACCTAAATCGCTTTAAAATTTTGAGTTCTTGCAGCTATAAATGTCTATTACATGGCACTGTAAAGGCCACAGGTTACAAAGCTTTGTGCAGGTGCTGCTTGAAAAATGACAATTTAAAAATTCTGATCAAAACTTGATGTACTTGTAACGTGGTTTTAGGCAGCTGCTCACAGTGCTAACAAACGGATGAGGATTAGCAAAACCAGGGAAGGCTGTAGCCATGCTCTATTTTTGCTAATCTGTTTCCATGAGATGGGAAATAGCAGCTGGCTGCTCCAGCTCTCCTTTTAGCTGGCTCTGAGCTTGCAAAGTCATTTCAAGCCAGTGCGTGAGGACTCGTGGATGTGGGGAAAAACAGTTTCCTGCGCTTTGTTGCATGAACTCAGAAATCAGATAATGAAAAACAGGGAAAAGGCTCAGCTCCCCTAACTTGGGGATGGGGGCTGCCTTCCCGCTCGGCGTCTGTAGGGGCCTGGCAGGGTGGGACTGTCCGGGCAGAGCACAGAGGGAGCTGATGCCGAAAGCCTCAGACATCCCGTCGTTGCGCTCTCCTCTGTTCGCTCCTACGACTGTCCTGGGATGAACAGCGTGTCATGAGAGAGGTCAGCTATTCGAGATTTGCAGCGAGTGCTGGAAGACCTGCTGAAGCAGATACCGGGATTGAGAGAGCTCTTTACGGCAACCTCAAGCCCAGTTAAAACCTCAAAGTAAGTAAAGCACTGGTTAACCCTTGCTGCTTTCTTACAACCTCTTAAACTGACAGGAAAGAGTCATTACCCCCTCTCTGGAGGATGCATGCAGGCACAGTGAGTTTGTGGGGCTCTGCGATGTCCCTTCCTAGCAATTTAAATGAAATTCAATGCTTTATTACCTTATTTTAATCCAATCATCCACGTTTTGGCTTGCCATCAGTGTCTCCAGATAGTCTCTCCCCATGTAGTAAGGCGGCCGCTCGTTAATTTTCTGAGGTAGGTATTCTAACAAGCCAACTGGAATATACCTGCAACGAAACGCAACGGCACTGTGTGCTATCGCTCCAACGGCAGGGGCTTGCTGCGGTAAAGATCTCTCAGCTGGGGTGAATCACCTGCACAGGAAGGAGAGCCACTCCAGCAGGAACTTCCTGGTCTTCTCCACGCCCTGAGTATCGGACCCCCAGTGCTCAAGGCCATAGTTGGTGAAGTCTTTGAGGATATCAAATCTCTCGCTGGAGGAGACATCCCAATGTCTCTGTTCCTTAATTTCAGTGAAAAGCCACGGTTTGATGAGTGCCCCTCTGTAGCAAAAAAAAAAAAAAAAGTGCATTGATATTCCCATGACTGAAGCTTCTGAATTTGCCAACCCATTTAACAGACTTTCCAGCACTTATTTGCCATTATAAACCACTTTATAAGGCTGCTTTATTTTTTTTTTCCATTTCAACAGGAAGCTGCTGTAAGTTCCCACAGAAGCAAACTGATTTTACCAAGTGTCAAAGAGTACTTTTACCAAGAGGAAACTTCTCGTGTTTTGGGTATGTTTCAGTATTTTTTTAATTCCTTTTTTACTCTTGCACGCATAGAGCTCAGAAGCAAAGGGGAAACACAGGCACTTGCCTTGCAATCATAATTCCCGAAACGCCCATCTCCATGGCTCGATTAGCATCTTCGTAAGACAAAATATCACCGTTTCCTGCCAGAAGGAAGGAAGAAGCCAGGGGTCAAAGCGATACACGAGGGCAAGTCAAAATGAGTTAATCCAGGCATGGGATAAAATTCAAAATGGACACAGGCTCCCAGAGCCAGCTTGTCCAAAGAGGCTCTGGGGCTCCTGTTTAGAGGCTCCCAGGGATGTTTCTGATTAAAGTTCCCCTTACAAGGAAAAGGAGAGCCTTCTCCTCTCTTCTCCACTCCCAACCCCTGGCCTGAAGGTTTAGCTGGGACTGTCTGTGCCACGGTGCCCAAGGGAGAAAGCACCTGCTAAAAACCAAGTGTTTTGTGTCCTCCTGCCTGTCCCTTTCCCCCCTACTCCACTCAGTGCTCGTCACGCCTGGCCCCAAGCACACGGGCAGATCTGGGCAGCACAGGAGCTGCTGGTAACTCACTCCACCGTGTCATCAGCAGCAGTGGGGATACTCCAACCTTTCCCTTTTCCCTGGGCTAAATGTCCTTGGGAGCCTGCTTTTTTTGTTTTTAAAGATATTTCAAATCAAACCTGCGGCACTTTCAGTCCACATGATAAAATAACAGAAACACCTACCAAAAAGAGGCATGGGGCTTGCTATTTTAGCACATTCTGCTATGTAGTCCCAGTCGGCGCCCCTTGTGTACCGCTGTTCCCTGGATCGGCCGTGAAGCTGGGGAAGAAAGTCACAGTGAGACCTCTCCGAATGCTTCGGAGGAGGCAGGGCAGAAGAGGAGCGCCGGAGGAAGGTGTTTCAGCAAAGGTAACGACACCAGGCTGGGGTAAGGGATCCCTCTGGATCTACAGCCCCGCCAGCTGCTAACAGCTCAGGCTGCGGAAGTGGTGAGCAGAGCTGAGAAAGGGCTGGATGCTTTCTGAGTAATGTTTCAGCTATTTGCAAGCCAGAGCAAGACGTGACCGTTCACAGTGAAAGGCAATATTCACTGTGGGCAGGAACTACGCATCCCCACGCAAATGAGATGGCCTCATCGCTTCCCCAGCCCTGCTGTAACGAGGCTTATTTGGCTGAAACCTCTGTTCCGGAGCACTGCAGGAACCATCTCCCTTTGTAATGGATACAAGGCTCAGGAGCACCTAGGAAAATGCTCTCTGCATCTGAATTTTTCTCTGTTATTAGCAGAAAACACTAAAAGGTAGTACACAGCTGGTCAAAGGTGTCTGAAAGAGCTGCTCAGCTGTGGGGAAGGGGAAGGGCAGCCCCACCCCGTGCTCTAGGGTGACATGCAAGCAGAGTTCCCCAGACACCAGCCAACACTCTCACGCTGCAGCAAGTATCCCTGTACCGTGACCATGGATGCTCCCCACTCCCGGATCTTGGGGATTATTTTATGAGCCACATTAATCTTTTCTTGTACCCCCGTCCGTATCTTCACAGTCAGCGGGACATCCAGCACCTGCAGAAATGGGGGAGTGAGGCCAGGCCGAGGCAGGAGCCGGCTCCATCAGCTCGTCTCCCGCTGCCGGCAGGCGCTCTGACTCACCGAGTTCATCCCTCGGACAATCTGCTCAAACTTGTTGGACCGAGTCATCAGAGCACAGCCTCCTCCCTGGGGGACAAAAAGTGGCACAGTCAAGACTTTCTGCCACCTTGCATAGTGAAGAGCCTCCTTGGAGCTGCTCAACAGCAGCCCTCTACTCAGGGAATGCAGGTAAGACTCGGAGCAGCCCAAGACCTGGAGAAAGGGGACTCTTCAACAAAAAAAACCCACAGCCCTTTTCCCTCCCAACTTCTGCCTGCTGCCAGGCAGAGACAGCTAACCATCCCCTGCTCTCTGAACAGCTTATTTGCCTTCTCGTTGATGTCTAGTGCCAATAAATGAACTGGGAGCTCTGGATCAGACTGGCAGCAGATCAGGTAGCGGGGGACGAGGCAAAAGAAGCATCTATTGAAAGAAGCAAAACATGCTGCAGAACATCTTCTTACCTTCTTGTAGACCAGGTCGATGGGACACCCGACATTGATGTCTACAAAGTCCACTTCAATTGTCTGGTTCAGGAGCTCTGCACATTTGGTCATCGTGTCTGGAAACGCTCCCTCCAGCTACCAAAGAGGGACAGGTTGCATGAGTTCAAGAAGCTTTTCTCCTCAGAAATGAGCACTCATTTGTTTGGTTATCAAGATGATAGCACTAACCTGCACCCCAAAAATATCTTCGGTATGATGCCGTTTGAGGAGAGCCCACTCGGAGGACTGGCCCTGAAGCAGGTTTGTGCACACAGCCATCTCTCCACAGGTGACATCTGCTCCGAAGCGCTTGCATATCCTTCGGAAAGGGAGGTTACCGCACTGAAAGAGACAGCAGAGAGATGGTTTGTCAGGAGATTTGCTCTGTTCCAAATGTGGCAATGGCAAATTTTGACAAAAGGAGAGAATTATCTACCCACCGTGGTCAGTGGAGCCAAGTAGAGCTTGCCTTGGATTTCCAGCTGGAAAACAAGAAGGATGGAGAGGCATGCTAGCAGAGCTGAACCAGCAGTGGTTAAACAGGAAGATATTCCAGTTAGCAATTTTATCATTTGCCTTGGGTAAAACTCAGTGGGAAACCCAGGAAATCACTGGTTTTGTTCGAGAACCTCAGCTATTCCAAGAGAACGTATCATTTGGATACAAGACCCAGAAACTTGAACTGCTCAATTTGTTTTCACTGCTCAACTTGGAGAAAACTCAAAGCAGTTACAGATATAAGAGGGATGCAAGACTGGCTAATGGATGCAAGGATGGAGGTGAGGAGGAGGAGAGGAATAAGGCAGTGCTCTCACCCCAGGAGAGCACTGTACTGTGCACACAAACCAACCAGCCCCAGCCTCGGCTCTCCTTGCACCTCCATCCACCCTCACTGACAACTCAGCCCCTGCTCTCCTTCACGTGCAAGGGGCTGCAGCTTCTCTTGGTTCTCACCCCTCCAAGGGCACCACCACAGCCCCCAGAGCTCACCTTCCTGCACCCTTCCCCTCTCATGACAGTAATGCGGTCCCCAGGCAGCTCTGTCCTCTGCCTGCCTCCCACCCAGCTAAGAGGTCTCTTCTGTCTTCCCAAGCACAATCTTAACCCCTTGGCAGGTACCCGAGAGACGGCAGCCCTCGACCAAACTCTCACCTTCCTCTTCTCACATGACCGCAGCTTTATAATATCTTCATCTGTCACTGGGCCCACTGTTTTGATGGAGGAAGCCTCCTCGCCACTTGTGGGGCCGGGACTCGGCAAGGCCTCTGGTTTGGGATCGTCTCCCTGCTCCGGTAGCACAGGACATTCGGGGCTGTCTCCCAGAGCCTCCTGGGGTGTTGTGCAGTTGGACACCTCTTGCTCCTCTGTAGATTGCCCCGTGGCTTTGCCTCCCTTCCCGCCATTGCCGTGGGGCTTGGCCAGCCCACGGAGGTACTCGTCAGCCTTCTTGAAGATAAACTTCCTCTTGCGCAGCTGGTGCTGGAGGTCCTTGGAGAGGTTGTTCCTCACCAGGGACTTCCCTTCCCACTGCTTGGCCAGGTCCGTGTTGACGATGTTCTGGTAGCCATCCCCAAGGTGGGCTTGGGCAAAGCGACAGGTGACGCCATAAATGCACTTGCCGAAGGTTTCGAAGAGCACGCAGCTGCACCCCAGGTCGGCCGGCTTCGCAGCCATGTACTCGCCGACGTCGTGAAGAAAGCGGCACCGTGGGCCGAAGTAGCACTTCTCTGCACACCCCTTAAAACAATAAAGAGGAGGTCAAAATCTCTGTCCCCCGCTTGCTTGCCCAGCCATGCCGGTACCTTCCGGCACAGGCGACGTGAGCCTGGGTCTGCCCGGCCAGAGAGGGGCCAGAACTGCTCCAAGCACCCATCGCTCCTTGGGTGACATCAGGCACATCCCATGAAATGCTCCCAGGAAGCTGACTGCTGGAATGTCCCGTAGAAGGGCAGCGATGTACCTGCTTGAGGGGACGTTTTAGTGCTACTGCTTCAGGGAAGCTGACACTTCCCTTGTCCTGCTCAGCTCATCCCACTCCACCCTCTCCGAGCCAGCCAACGGAGGTGGTTTGGCCAGCACAGCCCCCTGCTCCGTTCTCCCTGCTGGGAGTTTGCCCTGGCGCGGCTCTATCCTCAACGTGCTTTCCTAGACTTAAAAATCAATGCAGCCCTTGGGCAGGAAGGGCCCACCGGGGTCCCAAACGCCCCACCGGGGTCCCAAACGCCCCATGCCGGAGCAGGGCCCCCGCTCCCTACCTGCGTTACCGAGGGGCAGAGCCTGCTCTGCTCGTAGTGGTTGGGTTTCATGCACGGCCTGCTCTTGTTCTGCCCCCGGGCCCGCTTCCGCTCCCCAGGCTCCTTCTCCGCTGCTCCAGCATCCTCACGGCTTTCCCCGTCCTGACCGAGGCCCTCCGACCTCACCCGTTTGGCGGGGGGCTCGCTCTGGCAGCTGTCAACCTCCTCTTTCTTCTCCTCGCCCTCCTCTTCCTCGCCCTCGTTGCCTGCTTGGCCACCGGGCTCGCCCCCGGCCCGCAGGTAGGCATGGAACTGCTCCTTGGAGGCGAGGAACCTGCGGAGACACAGCCCCCCTGTGACCGCAGCGACGGCGGGTGCGGGGTGCGCGGGGAGAGGGGGGAGAGGGGGCGGCCTGA